AGGTTGTAACAAATATTAGTTTGAGATTATATATATAGAAATATATGTATAGTTGATGCAGGACTAATATTGTAAAAGTAATCTGTTAAATATAAATAAAAGTACTAACTAAAGAGACTACCTTAACATTGAAAAAAAAACAAAAAAAATTTAAACCAAAATATGTAGTTTGATAGATCTTTTCTAAAGCTACTAAATTTTAATAAAATTTTTTTTCTATTGAGGAAATACAATTTAAAAAATTAGTTAATAAATTTGATGTCTTTAGACTGTTTGCACCATAATTCTGGTTAAATTTGTTGATCATTTAGCCATTAATAACTTTGATTTCTTCATTTATTAGATTGTGCAGACCCGCCGATATGGTTTGAAATGTGCTTCTTTTTTTAGTACAGCATATTGCGAATTTTAATTTAAAAATTTAAATATTTTAAACCATTTAAAATTAAGTATTGCATAATAAATCTAGTACTGTATAGATAATTCTATTAATTTAATTTATAATCTAGATAATTTACATAATTTATTTTAAAAAATTTGTATTTAATTAGAAACAAAATTAGTAAATAAAATTGTATGCAGTTAGCATTAGGCAAAATATGCAAATTTGTAGTATACTGTATATTAAAATTTTTTAAAAATTTTGAAACATCCTATCAGGAAGTATAACTTCTTTTCTTTACAAATATCAATAATGATTATATGGTATCCAATTTATAAAAAATTATCTGTATATATTTAATCCAAATTATATTAAAAGCTTTATTAAATATTGATCTCAAAAGCCTTAATAATAACTAGATAAAGATTAAAAACTATCTTAAGTTGTAATATAAATCGGAAACAATAGACATAGTTTTAATAAAATAATATTTATTTCTGAGTAAACTATAAATAGGTTTATATAAATTTTTTATATGCTTAACAATCTAAATACGTAACAAATAAATAAAATAAGTAATAACGTCAATTAAATAAATTTAATATAGTACTCACCGTCAATATCAACAAAATCAACTGGTAGGGTTTCTAAAAAAGGTTCAAAAGTAATTTAAGTGTTTCATTTATGATTTATAAATACAAATAAATAATTCTAAATACCTTTAGTCATAAGTGTTTCTATTTCTTTGGTGTTAATCTTTTTGCTGGTATATAATGAATCCGGATGCCTTTGTGTAATAATTGGTAATGTTGTTTTAATAGCTTCATCAGCAGCCATGAATTTCTCTTTTATACCGAGTTTATCCAATACAGGAAAATCATAACTAACATTCTCCCATTGAGATAGAAGTATTAAGCCAACTTTATTAGCAGTGGGTCGTTTTTTTGGATCTTGCTCCATACACCTATTAGCTAATTTAATGTAACAATCAGGAGTCCCGTGTGCAAACTCTGGCCGCAATCCTTTGCATATCTTTAGTGAAAGACTAATGTTAAATGAATGACCATCAAAAGGTCTCTTTCCAGTTGATACTTCTGTCATGATAACGCCTAGAGCATAAACATCAGCTGCTTGCGTATATTCTTTCCTAATAAAACTTCAGGTGCAACATAGGGCATAACTCCAAAGATTTCTCCAGGTTGAGAATGCTCTTCATTTTTTTTAGATAATCCAAGATCTGTAATAAAAGGTGTTACTGAAGTTTCACGGATTTTAGTTTGCAAAATATTTCCGCTATGAAAGTCTCTATGTGAATATCCTGCTTGGTGAATTTGTCCCAAATCACTTGCTATATTTACAAGTAGCCATAATTTTTGTTTCCACATAAGTTCTTTAAAATTTTTTCTTAAATAACTATTAAGATCTCCGCTATCTGCATATTCAAATACCATTAGGTATTCACCAGTTACATCATCTTTAGTTAACCCGTAGATATCTAGATCACTACCCTCTAATCTACACTGCATATGACTTTTGAACTTATTAAATAAATTTATGTTAATATATTTGTTTCATACTTTACATGTTTGAATTTATGATAAATTATAATTAACCTCTTTTAAATAATCGGAATTTTCAGAATTAGACAAGGTTTTGAGTGCAACTTTAGAAGATTTTTTACGTGATTTTATATATTTCTTTTCTTTATCTGAAAGAACTTTTCGTGGGCCATCCAACCAGATTGCTGAAAATACTGAACCAAAACCACCACCAATTTTTTCAACGTTTTCTAGTCTATTAAATGGGATCCACTCAACACCGTCAGTATACATCATAGCCTTACGCTGAAAATCTTTAATACAATCATCAATATCATCATTTCCACTTGACCATCCTTGAGTAGTCATTTCAGAATCACAAGTATAACACCAGGCTCGATAGGTGTTAGCTTGTTCACAAATTTCACATTTTCCATAGTTAGGGTTTCTTTGTGGATTAATTTTTGTTATTAATAATTTAAATGATTTCATGAAATAAACCACACATTAATACAATACTCACCGTCTATTTTAATATATGTACATAAATAAACAGAGTAATAATATTTGATGGCAATAAAAAATCTTATGGGTGAATTCTATACTTACTGTCTGGTTAAACAGAACGTGTGTAAATAACAAGATATATTTAATAGATAATTCTGATAACAATTTTATGAATAAACACTACTTACCGTCTAGTTTAATATGTACGTGAATTAATAAGAAATAATATTTTAATAAATGATCTCTTAGAATAAGTAAATCGTTATGAATAAACTTTATACTCACAAACTAGTAGTTTAGCGAATGAACATACAAGAAATCTTTAATATAATTCTACTGATAATAAATGAGTAAATCATTTATAGATGAAATCCTATA